CTCTCTCCACAGTGTGGGTGCGTTTAATAATTACAAAATCATAGACTCTTACAGACACAGGGTGATTAGCCTTGGAGCCCCTTGAGGCCAAGGTCTGAGATCCTGTGGTGTGTATTCAGCCTGAGAGTAGGTGGGCCATGCACATAAGTAACATTGAAGGAGCCCTTACTACGTGCCTGATACTATTCTTATTTGATCTTCCCAACAACATGAAGGTTCTGAATGTATTTGGACCCTAGGAAGTGTGCGGGGCATTTGGTACATTTTCTTCAAGTGTAGTCTCTCATTTGATTCTCATAACAACCCAGCAAACTCGGCAGAAATAGCAGAGGCCCCGCATCAGTGCCCCCAATCCCACACCCTGGTGACTGAGCCCAGCTCCTCTGATCTGAATCAGACTGAGGTGTGTTGCACAGGAGACAGCACTTTGCTTCAGATGAGTGAGCAGTGAAGACCCGAAACACTGTGCGACATTCTATGTTCTTGCCTCCTCTTCCCCCAGCAGGTGATTTGTGGAATGAGTCTCAGAGCTCATAGTGTTTCTAGGCCATCCAGTCATCCCATTACTCTACTTGCAGCTGAGTAATCTGTGTATTTTTCTAATGGACTCTTATGCCAACTCCTGCAGTTCATAGAAGCGTGACCAGCTTTACTGCCCAGTGTATGCGTGGGGACAGTCTGAGGGAGGGGGTGTGGGGTTCCGGAGGGACTGCAAACAAGCTGCTCCCTGCCCTCCCATTGGCCAGCAGCTCCTCTCACCTGCAGCTCCGCGTGACAGGCTCCGGCACCCACCGGCACTGCAGCATCGATCCCCGCTGGCCCCTGAGGTGTGCCGACACTTTTACCACCCAAATAAATGCGGCAGAACCGTTACACAAACACTTACTGCCTCAGCGCTATTGTTACCTTGAGGTAACATTTTAATACTTTCTCCCTTTGTGAACTGAATGATTTTCCCTTGCCTCTTCTGTAACTGCTCTGGGTTAATGCTGTATGCGTAGCCTTGGATTGTAATGTCCAGACTTCTGCTGGGCCAAATTTAAATCATTTGATTTTGCTTAACAATGAGTGATCATTCTTGTCACAGGAAATGGTCCTGTCGCTGTGTTTATTGACTTGCCTTCATCTCCATATTTCCACCAGGAGCTCACCACCAAAGCACTTCACGATCACTTATAGACCTAGGATCTGGAACTAGTGGACACAGAGCCTTATAAGCAGGATACCAGACTGTATTCTTTTATCCAGTACTTGCTGAGCACCTTCTGTGTGCCTGGCACAGTCCTCAGTTGCGCTGTGAGGCAGCGAAGTCTCTCCGGTACCCAGTCATCACAGATGCTCATGCGGAGGAACTGAGACAGGCACCCAGACGGTGAGAGTACGAGGCCACCATGTCACGTGGGTGGCACAAATAAGTGTAGTAACTGTTTTCAGGGGGGACCCAGGGAAGCTTCCACCACTGGCCCAAAGGCTTTGTGGGCTTTTGCTTGGTGGATATTGAGTGAGTCTTTCCTGATGGAGTGGCTCCTGGTGGAGCAAAGACATGGGAGATGCAAGACCTAAGGTCTCATGGCACCCAGTAAGAAGTTCATGGCGCTGAGGGCGGGCGGCCTTCCAAGGACTGGAACTCTCAGACCATGGTGCCTGGGTAGATAAAAAGACATTCATCTTTATGCCCTCTTAATATTAACACTAAGATCTTAGTTCATTCTCTACCCCCGACAACCCCCCTCATCAGCCATAAAAGTGTCATATCTGAATGAAATTTTTAAAATTAATTCATATTTCTGTCAAACTGGACTATACATTTGAAGGGTTGCTTTGATTGAAAGTTTCCTAAAACTTGGGCTTTGGGTCACCCCTCATCTTCATTCTGCAAGAGAGCACCTATCCCCCAAAGGCTCCAGCCTTTAGACTGGAGGACTTTGAGAAACGAATACTGTTGAACTGTGTTAGTGGGGGCTCTGTCGGGAGCAGAGCAGGAGGGCCCCAGCAGGAGAACACAGCATGCACACCGGTTCTGTGGGAGGAGGTGTGTCCGTTCCGTGGTGGAATGCGCTGCCCAACCTTCACACAGTCCGCCAAAGGGAGTTTCAACTGGACAAACAAGTGAACCTTTGGGGAAAGTAGTTTTGCAAGATCTATCAGAAACCATAAAAATATTCAGACCTGTTGACTTAATAATTCCACTTCTAAAAACCTTTTATAAGAAACAAAATTGGGGATGTGATAAAAGATTTATACTTTTATAAATGGCATAAAGGAGAATGAGTAAATAAATTATGGTACATATTTACAATGGAATGTTACGCAGCTATTAAAAATATTCTGTCAGACAAGTACCACATGAGCTCAATTATTTGTGGAATATAATGAACAAAATAGACCCAGAGACATAGACAGGAGTACGGTTCATACTGACAAACCTCAGAGGAGGGGGGGAGGGATGAGATACACCAAAGAATTTATATGCATATATGCATAACCAATGGACATTGACAGCAATCTTAGGGGGGGTTAGGAGGAGGGTATCTGGGGGGGGGGGGAACATCTGATTGTAACAAAAATAAATAATATGAGAAAATAAATAAAAAATAAAAATAGCCCTGGCCAGTTTGGCTCAGTGGTTAGAGCGTCGGCCTGCGGTCCTGAGAGACCCGGGTTCAGTTCCCGCTAAGGGCGCGTACCTCGGTTGCAGTTTGTCCCCGGCCTTGGTCGGTTGTGCGGGTGGCAGCCACTCGATGTGTCCCTTCACGTCGATGTTTCTCTCTCTCTCTCTGTTCCTCTCTCTCCCTCCCACTCTACCTGAACAAAAAATGGAAAAATGTCCCCGGGTGAGGATAAAAAAATAAATAAATAAATAAATAAATAAAATAAAAATATTATTTCAAAGAACAGTTAATAACTTAAGGTTTCTAATACAAAGTTGCCCTGGCCAATTTGGCTCAGCAGTTAGAGCGTTGGCCTACGGTCCGGAGACCTGAGTTCGGTTCCTGCTAAGGGCATGTACCTCGGTTGCAGTTTGTCCCCGGCCCTGGTTGGGTCGTGTGGGTGGCAGCCACTCGATATGTCCCTTTCACATCAATGTTTTTCTCTCTCTCTCCCTCCCACTCTTTCTGAACAAAATATCGAAAAATGTCCTCGGGTGAGGATTAAAAAAAAAAGTTTAGTACCCTGGCCAGTGTGGCTCAGTTGGTTGGGCACCATCCTGTGCATAGAAAGGTTGTGGGTTCGATTCCTGGTCAGGGCACATGCCTAGGTTGCAGGCTCAGTCCCCTGGTGTAGGAGATGTGCAGGAGGCAGCTGATCGACATTTCTCTCTCCCTCTCCCTCCCTCTCTCTTTAAAAATAAAATCAATAAAAAATCTGCAAAGTTAAGTAGTAAAAATGAGTTATGATTTCAAATTAAAATATTGTGTGTTTGTGCCCTGGCCGGTTTGGTTCAGTGGTTAGAGCGTCGGCCTGTGGTCCTGAGAGACCCGGGTTCGGTTCCCACTAAGGGCACGTACCTCGGTTGCAGTTTGTCCCCGGCCCTGGTCGGTTGTGCGGGTGGCAGCCACTCGATGTGTCCCTTTCACATCGATGTTTCTCTCTCTCTTTGTTCCTCTCTCTCCCTCCCACTCTACCTGAACAAAAAATGGAAAAATGTCCTCGGGTGAGGATAAAAAAAAATATATATATATAGTGTGTTTGTGTGCATGCACTCACATGTGCGTGCACACACATTTTAAGAGAGATCGGTATTGGGCAGGCCCCAGCTACGTGTGCTTGCCTCCAGTCTTAGTCGGCGTGCGTTGCCCCCGTCATTGGCGGGCCTGTGACTGCCGCCGTGGAGCAGTGCCACCCGTGCCAAGGCAGCCAGCGCTGGTTGGGGAGCTGGTAGAGGAGCAGCTCGAGGAGAAAGCGCTGGTCAGATTGAAGTCTTTGCTCCTCTGTGGGTGGACTCCTCTGAGCCTCCTTTCCTCAGGGGAAAGTGGGTAGTGATCCTGACCATAACTGCACCAGCTGGTCTTCACCTTGCTACTGTTTGAGTCCCTGTTTTGGATGTCACTCAAGTAATTCTCTGGACCGTGGGCAGACGCTCTAACTGCTGAGCCGGACTGGCCAGGGCTCTCACATGCACTCTGCTGGGCCCTTGCCTTCACACTGACATAAAGTGATCTTGGACCACAAATCTACGTCCATCCTCTGATTTTAACACTTTAAAATTTTCCTCAGAGTGAGTTAGCATCCGAGATCTGGCCCTAGCCTGCCTTTTACTGTCTCCTCTACCCCCACCCCCACCCACACTCACCATCCTCGATGTCTTTGACTTTCTCTAAGCAGAAAGCATCTGGTGCCTCTGCACCCGCTCTCAGTGGGGCCATCCCCTCCACCCGGAATGCTCCGCCCTCCCCTGGCTCCCACTCCCCGCTCTGTGTGCTCCGGGGCCTTGCTAAGTCCCTTTCCTCAGAGCAGTCTTCCCAACGCCCTCGGGCTGCGTCCCACTCCTTCTAAATTCCTCTGGTCCTGTGCTGCCCTCTTTCCCAGCACCCGCCAGCTGCTGCACGGTTTTCTCCTGGGGTCCGTCTCTACCCCCAGAGGGGGCCCCTGAGGGAGGAGTCACGAATTCACAGATACGAGCGCAGTGTGGGGTTCGGGTTCGGTAGGTGTCACTGCTTGTCTGCCCCAAGACCTTCAGGCCTCCTAGGTGGGGTGCTGGGTCTTTCACCCAACAAATAGGTATTTGTTGTCTGCAGTAGCCGACCAGCCTTTGACTTATAAGAAAGAATTCTGCCCTGTCTCTATCTTATCAGCTTGCCGGTTCCTCAGGCCCTGCCCGATGTGCAGAGTATTTGCAAAGGCAAATCTAGTGACTACTTTGCCCCACAGTGCCGTTCCCAGCAGGGAATGGCCCTGTGGTGACAGACATTTGTATTTAAATGTCAGAAATGAGCTTTCTGACCCTTCACTGCTAATGGAATCCAGTGGTTCCTGATCTGTCTTTTCTTTGCCCTCAGGTCCACATTGGCCAACTGTATTCGACTGACAAGCTTATCATTGAGAATCAAGAGAAGCTCAAAACCTAAAGACCACCACCGGCAGCCACCGGCAGCAACTGTGGACACTTTCAGCATCCACACTGCTTGGGATGGGGGCTCCCAACGGACCATGAGTGGCGTATTGCATCAGCTTAAAATAATAACCCCCTGCTCAGCCTGCCCTGTAGGAACTGATCACTTGAGTGAGGTTTCCATTCTTCTGCAGCCCCTGTGAAAAGGGGGCTGTCTCTCCTTGGTTCAAGTGTTAGAATGAAGAGCTGGTGCTCACTCAGAATAATGGTGTGTATTATTGTCTCCTCTCCACCCGCCCCTCTTTAGTAGCTCATCGCCACTTGTACAGAACGTCTCCAGACTTTGTTTCTTAGCCCTTAACAATAAACAGAGTTGTCTCCCTAAACTATACCAGACACACTCCTCCTGATCCATGCACTTGGGTTTCCTGCTGCAGGCCCAGCAAGGGGCAAAGGAGTGACCAGGAGGCAGGCTCCACTCTGAGACCAGTCCTCCCTTTGTGAAAGCAAGCCCAGGCACCGGAAGAGTTTTGGGGAGCAGCAGGGAGGAGGGCAGGGCCTGAGGGGCAGTGAGTGCACCCTGTAGTTGATACCTAGGCCCAAGGCAACCACAGGGATGGCAGGCAGATGGATACACACCTAGAGGCAGGGTACTCCACCCCCTGGCTGCCCAGAGAGGTCTGAGGATCAGTACCACCTGGGAGCTGCACCCCAAACCTTTTGAATCAAAATAGTCCACTTAACACTGGAGGTCCCTGTAGCGCCCCTGAAGTTCAGGAAGTGCTGCTGGCCTCCCGAGTTCACCCGTGGAGTTGGAACCATCTGCAGATTATGAGAGTTTTTGAAAAGAAATCTCTCGGTGCTTACCTCCCCTTGGAGTCTGACTTAGTAAGAGGTGGAGCACAGTCATTTATATGTACAGTTGTTTTTTAGCTCTCCTGGTGTTTTTAATGTTTAGCCAGCTCGGGAAATTCTGCTGTTTGAGTATGTTACAGGTAAAAAAAAAAAAAAATTGTATGGATTTATCCATGGAAATACATCCGTTCAAAACATGGGAAGAAGATATTAAATAACTGACTTGACTTCTGGAGATTTTTATGAGGGACCAGACACTGTCTGAATGATTTTTTGTTTCCTTTTGTAAACAGTACTATGTGAATACATTATTTATTTGTGTGTCTAGGTTTGGGACAGGCTCATATAAATATTTATAGGTTCTAAAATAGCTATGACACCGCCATCAGCAAATCCTCAGACAAGTGCTGGTGAGGGTGTGGAGAAAAGGGGACTCTAAAACACTGCTGGTGGGAATGCAGACTGGTGCAGCCACTATGGAAAACAATATGGTGTTTCCTCAGCATATTAAAAATTGAACTGCCATTTGACCCAGTGATCCCACTTCTAGGAATATACCCTAAGAAACCTGAAACACCAATTAGAAAGAATATATGTACCCCCATGTTCATAGCAGCACTATTTACAATAGCTAAGATCTGGAAACAGCCCAAGTGTCCATCAGTAGATGAATGGACCAAAAAGCTGTGGTACATATACACAATGGAGTACTATGCAGCTGTAAGAAAGAAAGATCTCTTATCCTTTGAGACGACATGGAGGGACCTGGAGAGTATTATGCTAAGCAACATAAGCCAATCAGAGAAAGACAAGTACCACATGATCTCACTTATTTGTGGAAAATAATGAACAGCCCTGGCTGGTTTGGCTCAGCAGTTAGAGCGTCACCCGTAGACCAATGAATCATGGGTTCGGTTCCGGTCAAGGATGTATATCTTGGTTGCAGTTTGTCCCCGGCCCTGGTCAGGGTGGTGTGGGAGACAACCAGTTGATGTGTCTCTCTCACATCAATGTCTCTCTCTCTCTCTTTTCCTCTCTCCCTCCCTCCCACTCTATCTGAAGATAAATAGAAAAATGTCCTTAGGTAAGGATTTTTAAAAAAGAAGAAGAATATAATGAACAAAATAGAGCCAGAGACATGGAAGTAGGGAACAGACTGACAAACCTCAGAGGGAAGAGGGATGGGGGGTAGGGAGATAGGAAGAGATAAACCAAAGAACTTATGTGCATATATGCATAACCAATGGACACAGACAACAGTGTGATGAAGACCAGGGTGGGGGGTGGGAGTGGGGAGAAGCGTGTCAAGGGGGAGGGAAAGGAGTGACATCTGTAATAAAAAAATGAAGTTCTCAAGCTAAATTTTAGAAACCAAAAAAATAAAATAGCTGTGACAGTGTCACCCACATGCCCTGAACTGCGCGCGCGCCCCCCCATCAGTTTAATTCATGTGAGTTGAGCATAAGCAGTCTGGAGCCACATCCTCAGGCTCATATTAAAAGATTATGTCTACCCATGTCATCCATGGATTTTAAATATAACTGCATTCAAAATAGATTAAACATGTAGTCATTCTATTTGGCAATACAACTGACCAGAATGCTTTTGTCCATGGATAGTCTCATGGACCTGTGAGACCAAGCAACCCTTTCAAACACTCTACAGCCTCAGGGCTGCAGTGTGAGAATTAACATTCAGGAGACAGCCAATGTCAGTGCTGTGGGAAGTGTTCTCTCCTCTTCCCACTGACCGCGATGGGGTCAGAGTCTCCCAGCCCCGTGTGTGTGGCTCTGGGTCACTTTCCAGCCCGCATCAGTGCGGTCCGTGGCTGTTCAGCGACTACATCCAACAATGGCACTAGCTAACAGATGTCCCCTCTGATTTACCATAGGAGACTTTCTCCACATTTTGGTCACAGACAGTAGACCCGACAAACTTGATTTGTTTAATAGCAGGTTGCTTTTATGTTTGTTAAAGCACACAAATGGGCCCGGACATGCCCGAAGACTTAGTAAGCAGAACTAATTTTTGTAACTCAGATAAAAGTATGCACTTAGAATCTGTGGAAAGATGTGAATGAGGATTCAGTGACACAGAAACCATGATCAGGGATTTGGATCTTCCCTCAAACTGCAGGTGCAGGTGCAGCAGGCAAAGCCTTGTACTAAGTATTTCCCAATCAGAGGACTCCAGGTTGGCTGCAGAGCTTTGAATAAAGTGACATTCCCATGGGGACAGTCACTTGTGTTTCTATAGCAAAGCCTTCCACTTGCTTGACGAGGCCCCCCCTGGAGGACTCGGGGTGAGGGCCAGCTTCTCAGAACTCCGGTACGTGTGACTGTTCTGAAGGTGCGTTTTAGGCTGCAGTCTAAAGATTACTTTCCAGTGTCAACATTTAGCAAATAAATACTACTATAAATGAACTTCTGAGACAAAAACCACTAGCAAAGCATGGCTCTTCCTAGACCTTCAGAGATAGCATCCGATTGGTCCGGCTGTAATGCTCTGATACCTGGAAAACCTTGCATGGCCAAGTGCACGGCTCTGTTCTGGTGGCTGTGATGTTCCCGGATGTGGAACTGAAAGATCATCATGGAATTGACAGTTTGTGTTAGACTCAGCAGCACGCACCTCTGATGCCCTTCAGCCACAGTCTCACCCATCTCAAGTGCCTGAACACAGCCAAACGTGCAGCCTGACGTCCAAGAGCACTGGGCAGACTGCAGAAGTCTGCAAAGATGACACACTGTCGGAGCTGATGTATTAAAGTTCACCTAGGCCAACCCTCAGGTCTGCAGGTGTGAAAACTACGAGCCTAAGCATCTCCAGATCATTTGCAAAGCCGGGCTCTTTCCCCACATCCCTTTCACTCTTCCTTTAATTCATTAGGTGTTGGTCAAGAGCCAGGTATCCAGAGAGACCAGTGAACAGGACGAAGCCTCTGCCTTCACAGAACTTGCAGTCTCGCAGGGGAATTGAATGAGAAAGTGACAAGCCTGACAAGTGTAACAAAGGGCGACTCCAGGAGTCGATGGTGAGGCTCAGGGAAGGCCTCCCTGCGGAAGGCAGATTTAAGTTGAAGATGAAATGATGAGGAAGTGGCTGGCAAACTGCAGGGAGACGAGCTCTCCAGGCAGGAGGAATAGCATGTGCAAGGCCCTGAATCAGGAGGAAGGATGTGATGCAAGGAGCTGAAGGGAGCCCAGAGGGCTGTGGTCAGGGAGGGGTAGAAAGGCAGGGCTCCCCTGCGGGAGGCCCTGGGAGCCTTGGCCTAAGGACTATGAGAAGCTGTCGAAGTTTTCAAGCAGGAGGATTGCATTTTCAAATGGTCCCATTGTTGTAAGGGGAATAGATTGAGAGGGATGCAGGGAGACCAACTTTGAGAGGAGGTGTTTGGATTAAACACTATAATCCAGGCAAGGACGAGATGGTACTGACGTCACCTAGCGTCATGGCAGTTGGGAGGCAGAGCCAACATCCTGAGCAGAACTTGCTTTGGCTGGGCTGCTCTTCGGAGGCGCGCGAGAGCCGTGGGCACAGACGCCCCGGCTGAGCCTGATTAAATGAGCCAGCTCCCAGCTGCCCTGATGCCCGAAGTCCAGCCGAGTCTCCCAGCCAAGTCTAGCTGACATCAGGCAACTTCATCTGACCCTGAGACGCGTGATAAATAAATTCGTGTTTAAGGCACTGAGGTTTAGGGTAGTTTGTTATAAAGCGATGACTAATGCAGATATCCAGTATGTTATCTTATGTATTACGTTCAGAGGGCCACATAGCAAATCAAAGAGTAGGTAGGGAAACTGGGCCCAAACGGGTCTCCTGTGAGGGCCATTTCCACAAGTATCTTTAAGCACAAGAGCAGGCGTTGTGTTCCACAGACAAAGGGTGAGCATTTAGAACAAAACAGAACAGAAAAAGACGAAAAGAGAGTCAGTAGGGCGTGGTGGTTGGTGGGCGTGGGGGGAGCCCAGGCTGGGGGCCCGGCAGCGGAGCAGACGCTGGGCCGCCCGCTAAGACCCGCTGGGAGGCTGCACTGGCCACCGCGTTCTCCTGCTGCCAGGTTCAGACACTTCAAGTTCAAGCGGAAAGGCTAGTGTCTCCTACACGTTTATCTGTTACTTTCAGAGGCCGATAAGATTGTTTCTTTTTATTCATTTTACCAAACAAATGCACTTGAATAAAGCAATCTGAAAAAACCTTATAAAGAGACTTCACCTATACCTCTGTAGAACCAGTGTCCCCTCTATAGCTAAAGCCCATAGAGAGCCGCCATCCCTGGGGACGGGGCAGTGGGAGGGTCCTACACTGAGCGAAAGGCGACATGAAACTAAAGGGAAAGCTGCGGAGGGTGGGTGTGCAAACTCTGAGATTAGCTCTAAGAATGAAACCAAATGCACCGTGAAATGTCAACAAGGGTAAGAAAGTACACAATCACATCTTTATAGCAAAGTGAGCTGCTTTCTCTGTTAAGTGCCTTGTGCAAACTATTATTGCTTTCTAGATAAAGCTAGTCTCGGGCCTGGAGGCCAGGCTTAGGTACGTCGCAGAGGCTGAAGGGGTAGTAAGCACTCAAACAGCGGAAGGTGGATGCGTTTCCTTGCCACGGTTAACTTTCTCTTTGATTGGGGACCTGTTCTGGATCTGCTGGCAGTGGTGGGTAAGAAATTCCTTGAGGAGTCCAGCCGGTGTGGCTCAGTGGTTGAGCGTCAACCCTTGAGCGTCAACCCATGCACCGGGAGGTCACTGGTTTGATTCCGGGTCAGGACACATGCCCAGGTTGTGGGCCTGATCCCCAGTGGGGGGCGTGCAGGAGGCGGCCAATTGATGCTCTCTCTTATCGATGTTTTTCTCTCTCTTTCCCTCTCCCCTCCTCTCTAAAATCAATAAAGAAGCCCTGGCCAGTTTGGCTCAGCGGTTAGAGCGTCGGCCTGCAGTCCAGAGAGACCAGGGTTCAATTCCCGCTAAGGGCACGTACCTCGGTTGCAGTTTGTCCCCGGCCCTGGTTGGTCGTGCGAGTGGCAGCCACTCGATGTGTCCCTTTCACGTTGATGTTTCTCTCTCTCTCTCTCTTCCTCTCCCTCCCTCCCACACTATCTGAACAAAACATGGAAAAAGGTCCTCGCGTGAGGGTAAAAAAATAAAAAATAAAGAAAAAAAATTGTTTAAAAGAAAGAAAGAAATTTTTTAATGAAATGTGCTCTGAACCCAGGTGACC